TATTTTTTCGGGATATCTGTGCCAGTGCTACCAATCACACAATTTTAATTTTTTTGATTACATAATTTGACGAGACGTCCAGTATCTCTAAAAAATTAACATAATCGTTGTTTCTTCACAAAAAACTCAAACTTTTACTACAATTATGTCAAATCTTCTATTTTCAAGTTTTTGCGCCCCTTTTGATAAAGTTTCAAGTTGTACAAGCTTAAAAAACTCGAAAAACTTAACAAGTTAAGTAATCGTCGCTACTTCCGGTTGACATAACAAATATTTTGACATTTGAGGTTAGGTTGTAATGGCTCGAGATGATAAGTTATTTTTCCACAAAACCGTTCAACATTTGGCCCGATCTCTAGCCTGCATTAAAAACACACCATGGGATAAGGTAATTTTTCACCCAATTGCATAAAATCGCGACTTTGACCCTTCCCAGGTGCAAACCTTGTACTCCTTGTGCCCCATTGAGACAAGCAACGGGACCATATCGCTAAACAGTCGGCAACAGGATGCCGTCATCGCCCTCGGGATCTACTTCCTGGAGTCGGGACTCCAACACAAGGACACAATTTTGCCCTATATTCTCAAACTGGCAAAATCCCTGGGCAAGGCCACTTGGTCGGAGGAAATCAAGCAGAATCCCAGCGATAGTAAGCCCCCATTTGGGTATTTTCCCATTTAAGTGTCTTTCTCAGGGATACCAACCGCTGAAAAGTTCAGTTTTTGTCTCCATACTCTCTTGTGTGACATCGCGGTGAAATGTGAGGAGTCTCGTGAGGAAATAATCGAGACACAAGTCGACTGTTTGGTGAAACTCACAAATAATATTCTGAAAACACGGGAAAATACCAATAGTGCTGTCAAACTTTTCCTTTGCAAAACCACAGTTCCGGTTTTAATTGGGTTGTCGCGGGCAATGGGGCGTTTTTGCAACACCGAGCCCCCTTTAATCTGCCGGTTGTTCCCCAAACCGGAGCCCCCTTTAACCACCATCACCGCCAACCACGACTACAAGCGAAGTTTTAGCAATTTCCGGTCAATTATACCGAGGAGTCTTTCCGGTAATTTGACCGGAACTGTGGAAGGCTACGACACGACTGATGTCGCTTTTAGTTCAGCTAGTCTCAAAAGGGGCTCACTTATCAGCCAAAATTTCGGTAATTACGACCCTGCGACTTACTTTTTCGCCAAATTCGGGTCCAGTTTCAATCAATTTCCACATTTGAGAGTCAATGATTCGAATGATAAGAAAGTACAAATTATTTTCCCCTTGCAACATTTACAAACGATTCTTTCGTTGGCGAAAAAATTGCTCACTAAAGAAATGTTGAGTTTTTTGGATGAGCAAAGTTTGGAGGTTTATACAACGGGGAAAATTGTCATTTTTCCCTATAAAACCTTCTCGGAGACGATTAATTTAGTCATGGTGACTTTGATGAGGGAGTTGTTGCAACCGCAGAAGAGTCTTCCGGTTGCGTTTACGAAAGATGTGCAAGAATTTGTTAAAGGTGAGTTGAAGAGAATTACGGATATCTAAAGACTAGGATACGAAACGATGTTCAAGTTTTAATTAAAAAAATGGCTGTATTTACATAACGGTGAGCAAAACGCAAATAAAAAAAATTAAGGCAGATAGAGCATTAAATTCTTCATAATAAGGTGAAAACTATATTTAAATTTTTTTTAAACATTTAGCAATTTCCGCCACGTCTCATATTTTTGAAAATGCTACGAATACGGTTAGAGATACAAGAAAAATGTAAAAAAGAAACTTGTAGAGAATAAAATTTCCAAGAAAAATGTCCGCGAGATAATACCTGTATCTTCAATGGTTTAGGTCCTAAAGGCGTTCAAAGACGCTCAAGCGACGAAATCGGGTCATTTTTACCGGTGGTCAAGAGACAAAAAATTAATTTAAACCTAAACGGTTGAAGATAGAAATATGGTGTCGCGGACTTTTTTGTAGGAAATTTAATTCTCTACAATTCTGTTTCCTACACTTTTTTTGTATCTTCAACCGTATTCGCAGCGTTTTCAAAAATATCGAAAACAGTATTAAAAATAAATTATAAACAATTATCAGTTTGCGTTKCYCCCAATATTTTTAAGAACGCTYCGAATATGGTTAAAGATACAAAAAAAGTGTAAYAYACAAAATTGTAGAYAATAAAATTTGCTACAAAAAAGTCCMCGACACCATATTTCTATCTTCAACGGTTTAGGTTTAAATTGCTTTAAAGTGTCCCCCCGGTACTCAATCACCAATAAAAATGAAACGAATCCGTCGCTTGAGCTTCTTTGAACGTCTTTGAGGCCTAAACCATTAAAGATAGAGGTATGGTCTCGCMGACTTTTTACTAGAAAATTTTATTTTCTACAACTTRCTTTCTTACATTTTTCTTGTATCTTTAACCGTATTCGCAGCATTTTGAAAAACATGAAACGGAGCACAGATTTTGAATTTTAAATAATTTTTTTCTCATATTCCTCGTGAAAAATTTAGTGGTGCGTTTTCTACAGCTAATTAAGAATATAAAGCTCAACATTTTTGCATTTTTTTCCAAGCAATTAGTAAACTGGTTGAATTTAAATGAATTAAAAACGATTTGAAACTGAGACGGTAAAACGCTCTAAGCGCCCTCATTTTTACTTTTTTTGGGTCCAAAAAATCAAGCAATTTTGTATCTCGTTTCGTCTTCTAGTATACAGGGTGTTCCGTTTTTATTGTTACAAATTTAAACAGGTGATAGGATATTCAATTCTAAGACAAAAGTTTCCTATAAACATGTATTGAAAAATGCTTGGTAAGGGAGCTACACCCCCTGAAAGGGGGCTAATAGGTTTTTAAACGAATTCAAACATCAAATGTCGAAATTTTTAATCAGGGGCGTCCGAAACTGGTGGGGTTTAGGGTAAAAAAATACCCTATCTATTTTGGCTCTAGTTTCTTTAGTTATGCATTGACCAAAATGGTGGTCACTTTGAACAACTCCTTTAGATTTAGGCAAATTTATTTAATTAATGTTTTTATTGTTACTGTAATGTAATGTTAATTAGTTGAGGTTGATTAAAAAATATGAATTTCTTGCTTTTATTATTCTGTAAATTCTGATTTATTCGAATGTTTTATTGGTGTGTAACATAAATTTTAAATTAATTTTATTCAAAAACACACAAGAGAGACTTTTCTGTGATAAACTATCGAACTTAAGATTTTGTTGCTGAAAGTACCGAGAAACTAAAGCCAAAATAAATAGGGTATTTTTTACCTTAAACTCCCCCAGTTTCGTACGCCCCTGATTAAAAATTTCGACATTTGATGTTTGAATTCGTTTAGGTGTATAAAGATTATCATCTGTACCAAATTTTGTAATTTTATCTTAAATGGTTTCTGAAATATCAGCAAAAACATATTAGCCTCCTTCCAGGGGGTGTAGCTCCCTTATCAAGCATTTTTCGATACATGTTTATAGGAAACTTTTGTCTTAGAATTGAATATCCTATCACCTGTTTAAATTTGTAACAATAAAAACGAAACATTCTGTATACAGTGCGATCAAAAAGTATTTCTATCAAGTAGGCGTCCTAGTTGAGGACGTATGTTGCATGACAGTTCGTATGTTATCTAGATGTCATAAAATTATTTTATAAAAATTAAAACATTGAGCTAATTAAATTGAATTATTCTATGAAACGTCTCAAAACAAACTAAAATAAGATTTTGTTGGTGTTTATTCATAAAAATCGTTCACCACGGTTTCCTGTCATAATTTACATAAAAATATTTTGACATTTCTCATTTGTCATTGTGACATTTTATTTTCCACAGACATACGTTTTAAATTTCTACGCCTGCTTGATAGACAGACTTTTTGATCGCACTGTAGTTCTCCGTAAAGAGAATCGAGTCTTGTGATTGGTTGATGTTGTTCCAGGGTTGTACTTAAATGGGCAGACTGAACTCCAGAGTCGGAATCACGATGCAAGTGAGAAAGAAGATCGAGAAAGTAATTTTGCTCTTGTTAATAAATTTAAAGTTAATGTGATGGCAAATGCCGCCTGTGTTGATCTACTAGTTTGGGCAATAGGGGACGAAACAGGTAAAAATCTTAAAGAAAAAATGGACAAAACTGCTTTTTACTTTTCTTAAATAATTTTTTCAATTCTTTTTTCCAGTCGATAATGAGTATAACTTGCCGACATTGATAGGGTTTTTAAACACGGTGTTAGGTGATAAGTCTTGTCCCTTTCGATTTTTTTTATTTGTTTTAACGCGTCTTGTGTGTGATTCAATGTTAATCTCCATTGGGACAACGAGACAGGTCCGGAGCTAAATGGGGCGCACAAAATTTTTAGTGGGGCTATTTATTTTTTACTATAAGTAGTGTTATTGAAAAGTTCCAAATTTCAATATAAAAAAACAAAAGTACCTACATTTTTATAGCCTAAATATTATTGAGTTGCAATATTGTTAATACAGGGTGAACCAAAAGTAACGTACAAAATTCATTTCTTTGTTAGTGGTCGTTTTTCAAATTTTTTTTTTGAACAGGTCGATTTTATTTTTTTAAATGCTATATTTTGACACTAGTGACATTTATAACGTCATTTTTTTTGAGTTGTGACGTCATTTTTAATTTTTTTAAATGGCTACTGACATTTTTGTTCACTGTTTTAAATAGCACACATTTTTATCTTTTTGGAAATAAGAAAAAAAAATTAAAAAATGAATTTAAAACTTAAAAAAATAAATTTAAAAAAAAATTTTCAATGTAAATTTTAGGCGAAATAAAACCTAAACACAAAAAAATAAAAACAAAAAACAATCACTTCTTATTATAAAACACAGCAAGAACAATAAAACTCTTTGCATAAAACTTTCTATAAGTTTTTTTATAATAATAATAATAATAATGATTTATTTATTATTTTTCAAGAAAATTTTAACTTTTATTCAAGCCATTAGTTTGTTGAAATGAAGTTTAGCAATTACTATTTGTACTTAACCCCCTTAACAAAAAAAAAAGAAATAATGAAACAAATAAACAGAAAAGTAAATAAATAAAAAATGGAAAAATTACCAAAAAATAAAATGAAAAATTGCATTAAAGTTTAACTAAAATTAAGAAAAACTACTTAAGAAGAAATACAGGAAATAAAGCAATAAGAAAATAATAAAAAGCAAAAGTAAAAAACTAGTGGTTTGAAAAATATATTTTATTTTAATTTTTTTGCGAAAATTATTCACTGAAAGTTTTTCTTTAAATAAATGAGAAGAATTGTATAACTGTATTGTAAGAAAGAGATCTTTTAAATATATTTGGTAATGACAGGTCAGCAATATTACAACCTGAAACTTGATAACTTTTTATTTTCTTCTTTTTTGATTTTTTTTTGCTTTATTTTTAGAGTTTTTTTAAGCTTACCAGAAAGACAACGAAGTGTAATATCTAAAACAGTAATAAAAATGTTGGTTGACATTAAAAAAATGATGTCATTACTAGAAAACGGGCGACGTCATAAATAATGTCAAAATGTAGCATTTAAAAAAATTAAATCGACTTGTTCCAAGAATATTTTTTTTAATGACTGGTAACAAAGATGAATTTGGGTCGGTCTGTATTATAATTTTATGCGTTATTATTTCTAAAGAAAGTTGTTAAAAGTATTCTATAAATCTTTTTAGAGACAATTTGTGCTATTTCCAATCAATTTGGCTCAATTTTAAGCCGGAAATCAACCTAAAACAAAGTTTTTCAACAAAATAAATGCTTAAAAACAGTTCTCTTCCAAAATAAAGCAATTTGAGCTATTTCCAACTCAATTTTGCACACTTCTACTACAGAAATCATTCTAAATCAAAGTATTTTATAAAAATATTTGCTTAAAATGCAATTTTAGTCCAAAACGAAACAATTTGATGGAATTTCAACAAAATAATGGCTTTATTAAGAGTTTTCTTCTAAAATAAAGCAATTTTCAATCTAATTTTGCTGAAATAAAGTTTTAAAGTAGGGCCCTTCCTAGCTACGGGCCTGCAACGAGAGTGGCTTCTGATTTCAATTTTCACCCAATTAGAACGCAAACTAGTCTTTAACTAATTTTCCCGCTCTACTAACCCCCTTTGTTCTTTTTTTTACTTTTCTACCCTTTTGAAAGAAATTGATTTTTTGACAGGTGCTGATAGTCTTTGTGGCCGTCTTACTGAAAAAATCAACTCAAACCACGGCTACAAGCTTGTCTTAGCCCACATGCCCCTTGTTATGGTTTGTCTTGAAGGTTTGGGTACTTTAGCCCAAAAATTCCCCAATATTGCCTCCACCTCCATTTATTGTCTTCGAGATTTCCTCATTACTCCCTCTCCCATCCTCTCCAAACTCCATCGACAAGCCAACGAAAAAGGAAACAAGGAGAATCTGAAAATTATGGGTAAACCGTATATACAGGGTGCGCCAGAACTCGCGCCCCAGAGAAAAATGTTTGTGGCTTTTATTGGCAAAATTTTTGTACATTTACTAAATAATTATACCAGGTGAATAAAAAAAAAACTAATTGATGAACGATAAAGTACTTTAAAGATGTGATGTTTTATCAAGAATCAAATTTTTCGAAATTTTTTTTTTGTTTTTGAGTTCTACAATAATTTTTATTTATATAGTAACCCATTATAAAACTATTTTTCTCATAAAGGTTATGATCCTTCATATTTAATTAAAAAAAAATAAATTGCAATTTTGAGTAAAAAAAATCGCATAAAACAAGACAAAATTTCTTTCTCAAAACACGATCTCATTTTTTATATTACGTTAATTTATATTAATTATTATTTTCTGAAGACAAATGATTAAAAAAAAAACGCTTGGTTCCATACTTTATATTCACCCTGTATACATGATTGGCAGTATCATTAAATAGACATACAGGGTGTTCCAATGAAAACGAGTCACTCCTAATATCTCAGAAACTAAATTTTTTTTGCAAAAACGCCGAAATAGGTCAATTTTGTTTTTGAGGGGGACACTTTTTGACGTAATTTTTAAAGCACCCCCAGTCACTCCCTAACCCCCACACACCCCAACTTTAAAAATTTAAATGGCACTACCCTACTTGTGGCACATCAAATGAAAGCTATTTTAACAAGCTTTTCGATACTTTTTACCAAAATTGAATCAGACCATCCATTCATGAGATACAGGGTGTTGTTTGTATATAATCTTTCTTGAAATTTTTCTCTGGGGTGCGAGTTCTGACACTTTGTTGCAATAATACCAACTGATTTGTTTTTAGCACACGTGAATGGTTTTAAACCCGAAACTGTCAAACCTCACAATTCCACCCAATCAGCATTTGAGAAATTGCGTGATGCCGCTATCGAGAATCTGTGTTATGCTTTAGAAGCGGCACATAGCACTGATGCTGATTGTGTGAGGGCGCTAGTGGCGTCTGTTTCAAATCGTTTGTTTCGCGCCGAAAAAAGTGACAGTGAATCAACACTCATTTCTACAAATATTGTTATAATGTTGGGTCACGTGGCCGTTTCAATGAAAGGTACCCCCAAGACAACTGATACGATTTTACAGTTTTTCCAACAGAGATTTTGTCGTGTTCCTTCTGCACTTGATACACTCATTGTTGATCAATTGGGTTGTATGATTATTGCACAATGTGAATCACATGTGTATGAAGTTGTTATGAAAATGTTTACGATGATTACGGTGGAGAGTAGCAATGCGGCTTATGGGAATCCCACCAATGAGAAGGCACAGTATAGGTGAGTGTCCTCAAGAAATTTCAGATTTTTTGCTTGGAAAATAAGCGAGATATTGGGGTGAGAAGTTTTGCACTACTAACTGCACTAGTTCGATTTATAAACACGAAAATATGTTGTTACTTGTGAAATATTCTGATTTTGTTTATTTACTTGCCAATTAGTGTTGCTACGTTTGTGGATAAAATAGTATACAGGGTGATTTTTGTAAGACCTACATTAGAAATTTTGTATGCGACCAAAATCGACCATTTTTAATTCAATTGAAATTATTTTCAAAATGAGGAACTATGAGAAATTGGCTCTAATTTTGAAATTTTAAATGGAAACTTCTCACTTTTTTACACTTTTGAATCCGCTCTCTTTGAGTACTTATCTGTCATAGTTTTTGACGTTTGTCAAAAAATGACTTATTCAAAAAAAATCACTGCTTTTTTTTCTTTTTTCGAGTATTTTTTACGTTTTCAACCAGAAATTTGATTATTTCGTCAATTTTTTTCAAAAAAATCGAAAAACCACAAAATTGGTAAAATAGTTTTGTTAAAAAAGTTTGTATTATGATATTTTCTCCAAGAAAAAATAATCGAAAACCACCAAATTGGTTAAAAATAGGTATTTTGCTTTTTACAAGACGTTACTAAACAGAGCCGAAAATTGAGAACTTATTTTTGTTTTTTTGAATGCTTTTTCAGCTAGAAAATTTTGTCGAAAACAAGCCACAAATTTGACAAAATAGCCCAAAAATGGCGTTTTTTGTCTTTTCCGAGTGGTTATGGGTGTTTTTCAGAGATAAAAACACAAAAACTTCGAAAATTTTTATTTAGACATGCTAAAAAAATTACCAAAAAAAATCGAAATTAATATTATTTTTAGCTTGTTTCGCTCGACTTCTTTTTCTTTCGTTTTTGAACCAGAGGCTAATTTATTTTGCAAAATCTTGTCCAAACACGCTTAAAAATCACAAAAACATTTGGTATTGTTGTTATTTTGTTTATTTCGGTCGATTTTTGAGCAAAATATGACTAAAACAAGCCGAGAATTTTTTTTTCGCTAAAACGAATCGAAAAATCAACAAAGTTGTTACATTAATTTTGCATTTTTGGGAGTTTTAGCAGGTTTTTCGGCTAGAAATGCAATTATTTCGCAAAATTTTATTAAAAACAAGCCAAAAAAACACAGAATTAGGCCGAAAATGATATATTTTTTCCCTTTTTGAATGTTCAAGCAGGTTTTTAAGCTGAAAACTCTGTTTTTTTTGCGAGAGTTTGCCAAAACGTGACAAAAATCACAAAATTGTTGTAAAAAAAAACACATTTTTTTATGATATTTTTCCCTAATTTTTAAGCTTATTGCTTGCTTATTTTGTCAAATTTTCTCGAAGAAAAAATAATAGAAAACCACCAAATTGGTTAAAAACAGTTCTATTTGTTTTTTTTACAAGATATTACTAAACAGAGCGGAAAATGACAACTTGTTTTTGTTTTTTTCGAATGCTTTTTCCGTTAGAAACACAATTATTTTGCACAATTTTGTTAAAAAGGGCGTTTTTTGTCTTTTTGAGAGACAAAATCAACGCAATTAATTTCAATTTGCTTTTTTTAAAGTTATAAAACCGAAATCGAACTCTTTTTATCATAAAAATCCCTAGAATTAGGGAAAAATTCTCTAATCGACAGTGTTGCCAGATCTGGTGAAATTTCACCAGATTTGGTGATTTTCATGTTAGTTTGGTGGTTTAGTGAAAACTTTTGCAAAAATTCTAATATCTGGTGATTTTTTGGAAATGAAAAAACTATTTTTCGAGTATTTTTCACGTTTTCAACTAGAATCTTGAAAATTTCGTCAAATTTTTTCAGAAAGTCGAAAAACCACCAAAATGATTAAAAATACTTCTGTTTGTTTTTTTTACAAGATTTTACTAGATAGGATCGAAAATGAAAATTTATTTTTGTCTTTTTCGAATACTTTTTCCGCTAGAAACACAATTATTTCGCAAAATTTCGCTAAAAACAAGCTAAAAATTTAACAAATTCAAGCAAAAACGGCGTTATTTTTATTCTTTAAGTACGTTTTTGAGACAAAAGCAAAGAAAATTCTAAAAATTTTGTTGAAACAGTCAAAAAAATTACAAAATTAAATTGAAATTGATAATATTTTTAGCTGATTTCGTTCGACTTATTTTTGCAAAATTTTCTCCAAACACGCTTAAAATCACAAAAATAATTGATATTGATGTTATTTTGTTTGTTTCAGTCGATTTTTGAACAAAATAAGACGAGAATATTTTTAGCACGTTTTTGTACTAAAATCTCAGATTTTTTGCGAGATTTCAACAAATTAACTCGAAAGTTACATTAATTCTACATTTTTTGGGAGTTTTAACACGTTTTTCAGCTAGAAACGCAATTATTTCGCAAAATTTTGTTAAAAACAAGCCAAAAAACACAGAATTAGACCGAAAGTGATAATTTTTTCCTTTTTCGAAGGTTCAAGCAGATTTTTAAGCTTTTTTTGCGAGAGTTTGCCGAAGAGAAGCGTGTCAAAATTACTAAATTGTTATAAAAAAGATTATATTATATTTTTACCTAACTTTTAGGCTCTAACTTGATTATTTCACACGCACAAAAATTACAAAAAGGATTAATATTGATGTCATTTTGTTTGCTTCACTCGATTTAGCTGATTTTTGAGCATAATTAAGACAAAAATAAACTGAGAAACCACAAAATTTGGCCGAAAATCTCAGATTTTTTGCTATATTCGCTAAAATAAACTAAAAAATCAAAAAATTAAGTCTAAAAGTATATTATTTTTGCACGTTTTAGCACGGCTTTCAGCTAGAAACGCAATTATTTCGCAAAAATTTTGTTGAAAACAAGCCGAAAAATCGCTGAATTAAGCCATATTTGCTTTTTTCAAGAGTTTAAGCAGATTTTTAAGCTAAAAACTGCCTTTTTTTCGCAAGATTTTGCCATACAAATCTGGCAACACTGGTTTGAAGAATCTTCTAAAGTAGCTCAACTGTCAAATAAACGCCTAAACCATCACTTTGACTCCTAATATACTATTTTAGTGAAAAAAAAAAGTGATAAAAGTGATTATTTTCAATTTATTTTTGTTTTTAATTTAAATCACATTTTTTTTTTATAATTTTTAGACACGTTTCGCATCCCGTAATCAATGCCCTCGCCAACATTGCAGCCAACATTCAAAGCGAGTCCCAAATGAACGAACTACTAGGCCGTCTCCTCGAACTCTTCGTCCAATTAGGACTCGAGGGTAAACGCGCAAGTGAGAAATCCCCTGGGGCTCTAAAAGCCTCAAGTTCGGCTGGTAATTTAGGCGTTTTAATCCCTGTAATTGCCGTTTTATTACGCCGTCTTCCCCCTATAAAAAATCCCAAACCAAGGATACATAAATTATTTCGGGATTTTTGGTTATATTGCGTCATTATGGGATTCACAGCCTCCGATTCGGGATTATGGCCGAAGGAATGGTACGAAGGAGTGAAAGAAATCGCTGTTAAAAGTCCCGCTTTAGTATCACCGACTTCAAGTAGGTCAGAAATGCGCGAATTACAATACACTAGTGCGGTAAGAAATGACAGTGTGTCAATTACCGAACTACAAGAATTGAAAAATCAAATTTTGGAGTTGTTAAAACAACCAGCAGATGTCACAGCTTACGTAAATCGCTTAACATTTGCCCAATGCACATTTTTATTGAGTGTTTATTGGGTGGAAATTCTCAGAATTCAAAATTCACCCGAACCGAGTCTAGTCCCGATTATTACCGAATATTTATCCGATTCGGCATTGCAAAAAGACAAATCGGGGATGTGGGTTTGTGTCTCGGCTGTTGGTGAACGTGTCTTTGAGAAATTCCTCGAAGTGATGAAAAATAAGCCGAAAGATGAGGCGAGAGAGGCGGAGCTTGAAGGCCACGCCCAGTTTCTTCTCGTACATTTCAACGACCCCCACAAACAGATACGGAGAGTGTCCGATAAGTTTCTAGTGAGTCTTTTTGATCGATTTCCTCATTTGTTGTGGAGTAGAAAAGTGTTGTGGACAATGCTTGATATAATGCAAGTTTTGTCAACTTCGTTGCATTTGGATCCGAATCAGGAAACGCCCACTTTGCGAATCCCACGAACGGGATATTCCATACAATTGATGGATACGTTGGAGGCACGTGAGACTATAGTTAAGCATTTTGCGGCGAATTCGGAACGACTTATCAAAGAAGCCTTGAAATGGGCACCACAATGGACACGGTCACATATCCAAGAGTATATAACTCAAGTTCAGGGGGCGGGGCAATGGCAACACTCCGGTTTGTCATTGGCTCTTGAAACTATCCTACAATTTGGACCTTTAAACATGTCAAGTGCACCGATGAGTGTCTCAACATTGGAAAAAAGGCCAAAATGTGTTAAAAGTGATTCGTCGAAATTGATGGTTTCAACGTCACTGAGGTGTAAATACATTGGAGAGGTATTTGAATTAATTGAAATAATGTCAATTTAAATAAAAAATAATAAAAATTCAGGTTATTGGATTATCGGCCGTTTATGGTGTTGAAGGTAAAGAGAAATTAATTGAGTTTATAATGAAAAGGGTGTGGACGGCGTGTCAGGAAAGGTCCGATTCTGAACATCGAGATGCCTTATGGCAAGCCACAGCACTCTTAATTTCCACGAATGAGTTTCACCGAAATTTGTTGCATTGTATTGCATGGTCGCAGGTGAGGTGATTTGCCGCCTATTCGAGATGAAATATGAACTATATTTTTAGTCGTCTATGGATTTTCCATAATTAACCTCAAATATTATTGACAGCTGTCATTGTTGACAGAACTATTTGGTTTAAAAAGAGTAAAGCGGCACATGTAAAGAAATTCCATAAGCGACTAGATGAAATGCGTTGCATTTTTGTACACCCGAGGAAAAAATATTCACCAGTTTTTTTTGTAAATTACTCCAATATAACGTATACATTAAATTGTGGTTATAATAAACAAGCTTGCTCAAATTATCAAATTACAAATACATAAATTTATTTAAGAAATGTATTTTGCAAGTATACAGTATGTTCCCGGATTAAGTTTACAAGAGGAAAAAAATGTTTGCCTTTACTTATTTTTTTTGACTTCACTTTTAAGGTTTTTTATCTACAGCTTTCAAAAATCAAAATTGTACATTAATAAATTTGAATTTTGCCAATTTCTATCAAGTTATTTCTTTTATAATCAAAATTCTGATTTTAATAATACGTTTTATAATCGCCAGTCAAAAGGAAACAGATTTTTACCTTTGATTTTACGGCCAAACTGCAAAGGAAATACTTTTTTTTTCTATAGCAGATGTTAAACTATTTCTTTATGCGAGTAGATAAAGTAACACTTTAACAGCAAGGGTTGTTTTAGAAACGAGCTGAAAGGAGCAAATCTGTAATTAACATTATTCTGACTCAAGTGGAAAAAAAAGTTGTTTTTTTTCTTACTTTCTTTACTTTTCAGGTGCATGTTTTCGTCAAAAAAACGTCTTATTTTTAAAACTAAGCAAAATTGACCACTTCATAAAAATCTACATCCAAAAACACTAAGAAACATATGGTGTTTCATTTAAAAAAACATAAGTTTTTATTGTAACTTATGTTTGAGACACGCTGTATAGTTGAAAATAATATTTTAGGCGATGAACTTGATTAGTATCTATCAATGTCAATATTTTTTTTTAATTTCACTGTATTTAAGAAAATTCTTGTCTTTGTGATGAAATAGTATATTACATAACGAGCACGGAAAGTGATAAATAACGCACAAGCGGGAAAGTTGCGCACGAGGCGTTAGCCGAGTGCGAGTGCGTTGGACATTTTCCTGCAAGTTTTGTACACTATTTTTCCTACGACCATAAATATTTTTTTCTTACTAACATATTTTTTTTCATAACGATTTATTTTTTATAATGGATACAAAAAAAATACAAAACATTCGAGTGTGAATTGTGCTTTAGATTTCTAACACACAGTGCGAAAACAAATCGCACATGTTTTCGACCTCGTACGATATTGCCAATTGTCGCCCGTATGTAATTGTGCGTTATGATCTAGTTTCGTATATGGTCGTAGGAAAAATTTATTTTCATAAAAATGCGTTGAAAATTTCAACAGAGCGGCAAATTTCTCTCCAGGTTGAGCTTTTCACCGTCGAGGCAATGCGAACAGCTGTCGAATGTTGGCAATGGTTGATCACATCGCGACCGGAAGTCGAGCTTCGTTTCCTCCAGGAAATGGTATCGGCTTGGAATTGCACCGTCCAGAAACGCATGGGTCTTTTTGCGACCACTGAACCCATGACAAGTCCATTAGCGGCATACGAAGGTGCCCGATTAGAGCCGAACCCACCTTTCGTTAAACCACATGGTATTTGGGTACAATTCATCTGCGAATTGATCGACAACGTCAAGTATAGTAGTTATGAAAAAGTTGAAATGTTGGCAAGCTTGATACATCGATCATTGGCGATGTGTGTGGGGGCGGATCCCCCGTGTCAATCACGATCAGTCTCCGCAGTAGGGGTCAGATTTAAGTAAGTAGAGATGTGTCAACAAGAAATTACCACCTAGGAAAATTACGTTTTTCATGTTGTTTGTAACTAGAATTTTCAGAACTAATTTTGAATGTCTAGGGTTGGTAACACCTTGATGTTGACGATTGACGTTTTCTGTCAACTATCAATTGAGTTATCTATACAAGCTGACAGGTGTCTTAACCTAAATTTTTGACACTAGTTACGATATCTTTTGTTTATCACTAAATCCTAGGGAGTAATTTCTTGTTGATATGATAATATACTCGTTTTCATATTACTGTGCATCGAAGTAGCTGTTGAAAGGGATCATTTTAGGGTGGCAACCATGCAAAAATTCAAACAATTCTAACCTCAATTCTCCCTAAAAATTGCTACCCCAGGTAGCAAAAAATAATTAAAATTAAATTACTGATGTGACTAAATTTATTCTCAATGACATTAATGACATTTTTTGTGTGAATTGGCCTTTAAATTAAAGATGCATTTAGACTTCGACAACCTACTTGATCCACATTAATATAAAAAAGAGTATGTGTCATTATCTGTCATTTAATGTCATTTTTTTTTCTTCAAGACTTTTGACATGTGGCTTGTCATTACTACAAGGGGACATTTTACCGAAAAGTCTCGCTAAAAATGTACTCCGAGAACGGATTTATTGCAGTTGTTTGGATTATTTCTGTAAACCGGTCACGTGTCCATCTCAAACGTCAACTGAATTACGCGAAGATATCACTACACTTATCAGATTTTGGCAAACTTTACACTCTGATAAGAAATATTTGAAAGCTAGTGATGTTGGTGATTTAGATCTTGGACAAAATACACCACTAATGGTTGAGAATAACGAATTAACGAAACCTAACGATTTTAATCGACCAACTTCGGGTTGGATAAACACAGTACCACTCTCGAGCAGTACTGCCACCTTAAGTAAACGTTCAGCAAAATCAAAACGTGTCCCAATGGCCGATAATTTCGTCAAATGTTATCTCAAAAAAAGAAATTTGATTATGGATTTACTAACAGTCGAAATTGAATTTTTAATTGTTTGGCTTAATCCAACTTCACGACAAGAACAACAAATTCCCGGTGAGGAGAATATAGCCTCATGGAGGGCTAAAACAATAACAGAGAAACAATGGCAAGACTATACGAGACTAGCATGGGATATTTCACCAGTTTTGGCCACTTACTTGCCCACCAGATTCAAAACAAATGAAGCTATAATGAGCGAAATTCGACATCAAGTACAACAAAATCCAGTTTGTGTGTCACACGTACCTGAAGCGTTACAATATTTGGCCACTACTAACGCCATCTTGAGCGATAGTACGAAACTAGTGCATATGTTGATTTGGGCTCGGGTCTCCCCTATCAATGCTTTGGCCTATTTCAGTCGACAATTCCCCCCACATCCTACAACAGCACAGTATGCTGTGAAAGTTTTAAGTTCGTATCCGGCCGATGCTGTTTTGTTTTATATACCACAATTGGTACAAGCACTACGACATGATACGGTTTGGGGATTTTAATTTTAAACGATTGGTAACACAATTCATTGGTTTCAGATGGGTTATGTCACTGAATTTATTAAATATATAGCGAAAAAATCACAAATTGTCGCACATCAACTCATTTGGAATATGAAAACTAATATGTATTTGGATGAGGATATGCAACACAAGGATGTTGTTTTATTTGACGTTTTAGACGCGTTGTGTAATAGTATTTTGGCCGAGTTGTCAGGACCAGCGAAACAATTTTATGAGAGAGAATTTGATTTCTTTGATAAGATTACTAGTATTTCGGGTGAGATACGGCCTTATCCGAAGGGGCCCGAACGTAGAAGGGCGTGTCTCGAAGCGTTGAGAAAAATTAAAGTAAGGTTATGGTCGATAACAAGAAATTACTCCCTAGGATCTAGGGATATTCGTCATAAATTTGGTTAGGTTGGTTTTTAGTGACAATTGTAACCAGTGTCAAAATATTTGACAGTATGTTGACAGAAAACTTGTGAAAATTTTAGTTCCAAACAACAATTTTCCTAGGTGGTAATTTCTTGTTGACAACTCTGTGGACACCAGTGGCGTCCCCGAATTACATACAAGTTTTCAGGTGCAACCCGGTTGTTATTTGCCCAGTAATCCTGAGGCTATGGTGGTCGATATTGACTACAACAGTGGCGTACCGATGCAAAGTGCTGCCAAAGCCCCCTACTTGGCCCGTTTCAAAGTTTGTCGATGTGGAATAAACGAACTTGAGAATATCGCAATGGCTGTGTCTGTCAATGAGGTATGTCAAAAACGAAACCAATTCAGTGTTGCCAATTTTTTGTAATCCCTAGATTTAGTTGTTAAAAATCTCTAGGTATTGCCAAATCCATTTAAATTTTAGATGTTTCAAAAAAAGTTTATTTAAACAAATAATATAACAAATGAAACATAACTTTCTCAATTAATGTAAAATATATTCTGAACAAACTAAATACATATTATTAATTATATATAATAATAAAAATTACATACAATAATAATTCGTAATAATATAAAAACTAAGAATATACCAGGTGAATAAAAAGTATGGAACCAATCGTTTTTCGCTTAAACTATTTATTTTTTTTGAAAAACTAATTGATGAATGATAAAGTGCTATAAAAATGTGACCATTTATCAAGAATAAAATTTTTCGAAATTTTCTTTTGTTTTTGAGTTCTACAAAAAAATTTTTTTTCAAATGGCAACTCACTATAAAACCATTTTTCTCATGAAAGTTATGATATAAGGATTACAACTATCTACTTTATGGTTAATTTTTTCAAATTTTTTATTTACATAAATTGCAATTTTGCCAAAAAAAATCGCATAATTCAAAATCAAAAAAAAATATCGTACTCAAAATACTATCACATTTTTTTATATTACTTTAATTTATATAAATTATTATTTTTTGGAGGCAAATGATTAAAAAAAAACGCTTGGTTCCATACTTTATATTCATGTATCATAAAACTACATAAAAAAATATATTTCGTTGTTAATTTTTTTTAACAATGAATCGATTTCGAAATTAAAACAACTGTTATCTTTTAGCAACATTTTTGTTTGCAGAAAACCACCTAATGTTTCCACTTTGAGTTGATTTAGAATTTTGGTTTTATTTAAATTAATTGTAGAAAAATTTTTTTCTTACGTTTCCTTTTGGTTTGCTTCAATGCTACAGAAGAATATTCTTCGATGCCTTTGGAAGATGATGGTTTTGATGCCATTTCAACAGTTTAAAAAGAAAAAAAGGAGTAAAAAGTTACAAACATATTAATAAAAACAGTACAATTTATTTTCGAATTTTTTAAAAAAGTTTAAAAATTAAAAATATAATAAAACTGTAATTAACACACTCCAATTTACATAAATGCACAAAACTTTTAACAATTTTTTGTACATATTAGGTATTTTAAACCGTACTTGCAAAAAAAAAAATATAGAAAATTGAGTGTAAAAATGCTCAAAGGTATACAGGGTGCGCCAGAACTCGCACCCCAGAGAAAAATACCTTATAAGATAAAATACTAGGAACATGGAAAAAAAATTTAATTTTTTAAATAAAACATTTTTTTAAAAAATTTGACATTTATTTTTTGACATTTGACATTTTTTTATATCTATTAGATAAAGTAACACTTCTTGTATATCTTGTATATGTTTTTTTACAATTATTTAGTAAAGAAACATAAAAAATGACAATAAAAGCCACAAATAACCTTAAAATAAGTTACAATTTATGATACAGCTTCCTTGTTTCCTCTTCTAATAGTCTGTAGCAAAAAAACTTAAAAAATTATTTTTCCAACAGAAATAAATAGAATTAAAGAGGAAAATTCAAACTCTTATAATTTTGAAATTTTAATAGGTAGAATTTTTTTAACATTTCTTCCATGCTCTTGGTATCTCACCTTACATTTTTTTTCTTTGGGGCGCGAGTTCTGGCGCACCCTATATTTATAACCTGGAGATATGACGTGGTTAGGGGATATACTTACTTTTGTATGTCATGCTGCTACAATTTTTTTAAGTTTTTTTTACATTTCAATGTAAATTATTAAAAAAAATTAAACTTGAAACGTCGAACACAAAAACAAACACAAAGCGTCTCCCGAAAGATTCTAAAAAAAATCCCTAGATTTTGTGTAAAAAAAAAACTGAAAAAATTCTTTTGACAGTTTAAAAATCCCTAGATTCGGGTAAAATTCTTAGACCTGCTGGCAACCCTGAACCAATTATTATTCTAGAGTTTTTTTTTTCTCCCCCAGAACCATGAACAGAATTTTGGACCGGAAATGTGGCAAGCGGCCATTTTTAAAGTCGGCGATGACGTCAGACAAGATATGTTGGCGCTACAAGTGATTGGAATATTTAAGAATATTTTTCAAACAGTCGGTTTGGATTTGTATTTGTTTCCATATCGGGTGGTAGCGACAGCTCCTGGGGTATTTTATTATCGTATCAACAAGAAATTACTCCCTAGGATTTAGGGATATTCGTGCCATAAATTTAGTTAGGTTGGTTTGTGGTGACAAACAAAAAATATCGTAGTGTCAAAAATTTAGGCATTCAAAATTACTTCTGAAAATTCTAGTTACAAAAACCATGAAAAAAGTAATTTTCCTAAAAATTCAAATCCTAGGTGGTAATTTCTTGTTGACGTGTTTTTTTGTTTTCACTTTTATCAATTGTTTTTTCAGTGTGGAGTGATTGAATGTGTACCAAATGCAAAGTCACGTGACCAATTAGGACGCCAAACTGACATTGGATTGTATGAATATTTTTTGAAAAAATACGGGGAGGAAAGTTCAAAGGAGTTTCAAAATGCCCGCCGAAATTTCATCATATCAATGGCCGCTTACAGTGTTGTCGGTTTTCTCCTACAAATCAAAGATCGTCATAATGGCAATATTATGTTGGACACCGATGGTCATATTATCCATATTGATTTTGGTTTTATGTTTGAGTCGTCTCCAGGGGGTAATTTGGGCTTCGAGCCCGATATTAAGCTCACAGATGAGATGGTTATGATTATGGGGGGCAAAATGGAGGCAGCCCCATTTAAATGGTTCTCGGATTTGTGTGTCCAGGCTTATTTGGCTGTTAGGCCCCATCAGGAGGCTATAATTTCGTTGGTTTCTCTCATGTTAGATACAGGGTTGCCTTGTTTTCGGGGACAGACGATTAAATTGTTAAGGGGGCGCTTCCATCCAGGGGCTACCGATAAAGAAGCCGCCACTTATATGCTACAGATTATACGTAATAGTTTCTTGAATTTCAGAACAAGAACATATGATATGATTCAATATTATCAAAATCAGATTCCTTATTAAGTGGGAGTAGTGGTTTTAGGAATTTTTCTGTGATCAGTGTTAATATTTATTGGTGATTATAGTAATATATAACATATTAGAGTTTTTGGGCCATTTTTTTGTTAAAAATTTCAATCCAATAACCGTCAGGGTCGGTAATAAACGCAATGTCTTTCATTTTACCGTCTTGGGGCTTTTTTACGAAATTAACCCCCAGTTTTTCAAACCTTTCACACGCTTTGGTTACATCAGGAACCATAATACCAATATGACCAAATCCACGAGGATCACAATTCCCATTATGGTATTTACACTCAGGGTCGTTCTCAGAGCCCCAATTACTTGAAAATCACAAAATTAAATTCGAATTTACTACCACCATACTTACTGAGTCAATTCGATCGTTGCTTTTCGTGAAAACGCCCATTCACCCCTTTCTGGAGTCCCCAATTCGCCCCTTATATCCCGAGAATCCTCATAACCCATAAAATAGAGCGAAAATTTCATACTCGGAAAATCATATTTTTGCAATAGACGCATTCCAAGGACTTCGGTGTAAAAAGGGATGCTTACTTTGGGGTCTTTGATACGGTACATTGTTTGTTGGAAGAGAAAATCCTGGAAAATTTCGATGAAAATATTTGAGGTTAGGGTGACTCACTTGCGTCTCCGGGGACGGATCTTTGCACAGTTTTACAGCCTCGGCGTGAGAAATGGGGGGCTGTGCTGTATCACCCATTTTTAACGTTTTAAAAACAAGTTTTAGAACGAAAAAAAATTGAGGTTAGTAGAAATGTCACGGGATTTCGTGATAATGCGAAGTTCGGTAATTACGAAAATAATTAAAACCCTTAATTAGACAAGATTGAATGTTTGAGGCTATTAGAATTGGATTTTGGAGCGTGCAATTTTTTACCACGAATGAATAATTGAATTAATCAACAATTTAGATAGATATTTAATCTAGTTTAGGTTGGTAGTGCCAAGTGTCAACAAAACAAGCCCCGACTTAACCTCACTTTCCTCCCTTTTGTTTTCGTATTTTCAAGTGTTTGGGGCCTTAAAATGGCATCACCGATGTTTTCTTCAAGTTCCAAAAAGCACAAGAAACACAAATCGGAGCGTAAGGAGCGCCCCGAGACTTTCACTGAAAAGCCCCCGGGGCTGAAACTGATCCTGAAAGTGGGCAATCAAGCGACTCCTGAACACACTACCGACTATTACAATTTGAATTCGTACAGTATTCAAGACCAAATCATCGACCAGAACGACCCATGCATGACCATGGGGCGCAGCCACCATAAAAAGAGCAAAAAAAAGAAGAAGAAAAAAGACAAGAGTAAAGACAGGGACCGGAAACACCGCCACCACCACAAGGAGAAGAAACGGAAACGTGAAGAAATGGATTATGACGGTTGGTGTTGTTAAATGTTGTGGTGTCTTTAAATTGGTTTAGAGGAAAATCGGGATTTTTCAGGAGGTAGTCCGAGTTTGCATCGGGAGCCCCGGACATGTGTCCTGAGACAGAGACAGGAACGGACTCCGGTACAAAGAATGCTAGATCAATTATTGGGGCTTTTGGAGAAGAAGGACCCCCAGCAGTTTTTCGCATGGCCAGTGACTGATAACATCGCCCCCGGGTACTCCTCTATAATCACACAACCTATGGATTTCAGTACTATGAGGCAAAAAATCGAGGATAATCAATACGACAATCTACAAGTATGAGTCACTAAAATTTAAAAAAAAATGAACCAAATTTTGATTTTCTTATGCAAAATTTTTCAAGGATTTCAAATATGTAATTGGTTTTTTCTTGTCACTAGTGGTTTTCGAGATATCGGCCAAAATTTGTCTTTTTTTAAAACTTTTCAAGGTCACAGAAGTTAACAAATTGGACCAAAAGTAAACTTCTCTTATGCAATTTTACTCAACAATTTTGGATATGTAATCAGTTTTTCTTTATCATTAATATTTTTCAAGATATCAGCGAAAGTTTGGCTTTTTTTAAATTGTCAAATCGTTTTTTCTCAAATTTTTCAGGGTCATGAAATTAACAAATTTAACCGCAATTAAGAGAAATTGTCCCAGAATTCTAAATATCTAAGCACTGTTTTTTTATTGTCAATAATTTTCGAGATATCAGCAACAATTCAGCAAATTTTTTCTTAAAATTTAAATAAAAAAAATATATTTTTTCAAGATCACCGAAAACAACAAATTGGAACAAAAGTAGGTTTTTCTTATGCAAATTTGACCAGGGATTCCGAAAATGTTATCAGTTTTGTCTTATCCAAAACAATTTTCGAGAAATCGACTAAAGATTGTCAATTTTTGTCCAAACCGTTTTTTTTGTCAAGTATTCAAATTAGAATTTCTCAGGATCACATAAATTAAAATATTGAAACGAAACAAGATTTTTATTTAAGCAAAATTGGCCAAAAAATCTGAAAATATAATTGGTTTTTACCCATCTTTGATAGTTTCTGAGATATTAACCAGAATTGAGCAACATTTTGTAAAAAATTGTTTTTAGTCAAGTATTTTTCTGATGGAAATTTGTATAACAATTTTAAATATGTAATCAGTTTTTACCCCAGATAAATAGTTTCCGAGTTACCGGCAAAAATATTTTTTTTTGAATTGATTTAATCGTTTCTAATCAATTAATTTCTCAAGGTCACAAAAATCAACAAATGAGACCTTAGGTTAAGTTTTCTTACATAAAATTGTCCAAGGATTTCGCTGGTGTAATTAGTTTTTACTTAGCTTTTACAGTTTTCTAGATATCGGCCAAAATTTGTAATTTTTTTCTGCAATCTATTAGTCAAGTGCCAGAATTATGTTTTTTTGAGGTCACTGAAACCTCAAATAAACTTTTTTCCAAGAATTGTTCAAGAATTTTAAATACGTAATCGATTTTTCAATTCATTCAAAACCTGAAAAATTGTTTCAGGATTTCAACGCCGACTTCAAGCTCATGTGTACAAACGCAATGAAATATAATCATGTCGATACGATTTATTACAAAGCTAGTAAAAAATTACTTCATGCTGGTTCGAAAATGATGCAACCGGAAAAATTGGGTTGGATTTTAAATTTGATCCCGGAATTGAGCAATGAAGACATGGGATTTGAGATAACCCCCGAATTGAGACAGAATAAAGGGGGACATGAGGACCATTATGACAGTGATCACGTAATTGAGGGTAAAAAACGAATGCCAACTTCGAAATTTGAAGCTATTCAGGATGACCTCACACCGGAGGAAATCCTCACAAAGTCACAAATTGCAGCGAGAGAAGCTAGAGTCAAATTAAGTGAGTTGTGTTTTTTTTTGACAGGTCGTGACAACTTGACAAATTTTATATCATTTTGTTCGTCTCAGTGAGACAAAACAAATGCACTAAAAAAATTTCAAAAGTCCACACACTTTGAACTAAATATTTTTTTTCTAATTTAAATAAATTTAAAATACTTTAACTTTAAAAAATCATTACTCAATAACTATTATGCCAATTTCCTTCAACTAAAGACTATTCTAAAGGGATAGCCTTGCTCTTTAGAATGATATAAAATTTGAAATTAAATATTGACAAACAAAATTCGAAGTAAATCGAAGTAATCTAAGAAAAACTCTACGAGTAAATTTTTTTTCTTTGTCACCATCGTGTAGAGCATCTTTTTATTAGTGAGAATCCAAATTTTTAAAATAATATACCGAGTAGTTTTCAAGATATGATTTTTTGAAGTTAAGGTTTGCCAATCAAGGGGAGAAATGCATGTTAATCTTACTTAAAATTGCATTTTTATAAAAGTATTTGTTTTAAGACTCTTCTTTTGCTTAAAAATGATCAATTGCACTTTTTTTTCTAATTAGAATAAACAAAAACTGTTTCTTTACTTCAAACAAACAAAGAGTATCTGTGTACTAATTAAAGCAAATAAAGTGTTTTTTGTTGTAAAAATGACCACTGTGCAAAAAGGATCTGTTTTTAAGTCTTTTTCTTTTTTTAACTTTTTCTTTTATTCCGATTTTTGTCTCCTTTCTTTGTTTTTCCTCAAAATCATTAAATCATTTCTCTCTGTTTCACTTTCTTGCTTCCTGTTTTTATTTCTTTGTTCCGTCTCAGAAATTATATCTTTTTTTCACGCTTTTCTCCACGTTTATCGATTTTGCGCTCTTTCTGTCTCTTTTTAGGTCAGTCTTATTTTCCAATGTTTTTTTTTTCTTGTCTTTTTTTAAGTTTTTGTTTATTACTTTTTTTACTTTTAAAAGTTTTAATTTAGAAGAAAATAAAATAAAATTTAATAAAATCAATAGCAATGTTATAGTTTATTTCATCGCAAGTCTACAAAAAGAACCAAGAAACAGTAAAAACTATAAAAATAAACGACATCACCACCAAAAAAGTGAAACACTTATTTGTATAAAATTCAAAATCGAACAAAGTATGTCTTTTCTTTCCTTTTTTTCTGTATTTCTTTTATCTTTTATTCTGTTTGTTTCATCCTTTCCTTCCCTTTACGTAAAACTTCTTTTCTCTTTACATCTGTCCGATTTTTATTTTTTCTACTTTTCTTTTACTGTTTTGCCTTTTGTTTTTATTTCTTTTCCCTTCTCAATAACTACAGTTTCACTTTTACACTGTATACTTTGAACATCTTTCTATCTATTTTTAAGTCTTTTTCTTCTTTTAACTTTTTCTGCATC